GACTGAAGATATCTCAGTAACTTTTGATCAATTTTAATAATATTTTTTTAATATGAATTTTATATATTCATATAATTCAAATAAAAAAAAGTTTATCAAATTTAATTAGGTGATTCTTGAAATATCTTCATTCAAAGTTTTAAAAAAATTTAGTATAACTATTTTGATAGACATTTTGATTTTTCTTTAACTTTGAGTAAAGATATTTTGATAACTATCTAATCAATTTTGATGAAAATTTTTTTATTTTAATTCTATATATTCATAAAATTGAAATAAAAAAAGTTTATTAAATTTAATTAGATAGTTATTAAACTATCTTTATTTGAACTTTCAAATTTTTAATTTTTTGCTAGAGGGTACAAATACCAAATATAGAGAGTATGAATACTAGTTTTTTTTAATTATAATTATATAACTTGTATAAGATGAATATATAATTAATTATATATATAGCTTTTGACTATCTATTTAAGTAGTCTGCCTATAGGTTTTACACTAGCTGCTATATCTATAATCTGTTAAGAAATTATTTAATTAAATATTTTGATTTTACACTATATCTAATAGATAGCATACAAGTTTTTGTATATTTAAATGTTATTTAACCTAACTCTAATCTTTTTGTCTATATATCTGTTAAGCTATTATATATTTCAAAATATGCCATTTGACTATAAGGCTTTAAGAGTTCTTTTTTTAACTAATTACTCATATTTAATTCTTGTTAACAGAACTTATTCTTGCAAAGTTTACTCAAATTCTAGTATTTACTTTATAGCATATTCTTAGTACTTATAATATATCCTTTTGTTTTTGTTATTAAACTTTTAATTTAGATAGTTTAAAAGGACTATAACCTGTCTCTAGTATATCAGAATTATAACATCTAATATTCTTTTTCTTAGATTTAAGACTTTCAGTAATCTGACTAATATATTCCTTATCTGAAATTTTTATTCACTTGATTTCTTTATATTGGTATCTGTTTTTTAGATCTAATCTTTATAGTAATACTATTAAAGATCTGTATTATTTTTCTACTTGAGTTTTTTCAAATAGGTTTTAGCTTTTCAGTTCTATAGATTTATACAGCTACAAGAACTTATTTTGAGTTTGTATTACCTATCACTGATTTGTATTCCTCTATATAACCAGTTATACAAATGCCTATAACATACCAATTATACTAATATAACTATAATTACAGGCATATTATTTTAGCTGATTGACAGAATATTATTATTATAATACTGTCTATATATTATATAAGTAATTATTTAAATTTTTACTATTGATGAGTTTTGAACTTACAACCTACTACTTGAAGAATTGACAACTTATCTATTTTACTAAGTTATCACATCCTAATTTAACTATAATTATTAATAATAATACTATTATATATATTTTAAAACAATATAAAATAAAAAATTATTTGTATAAAAAAATATAAGTTTTAATATAAGGTTATACAAACTTAATAAATTGGTTTTTATAACATAAAGTTTTAAAAATAATTTAATCTTTAATTTTATTTTTAAAACATTTTATATATAAAAAACATATAAAAGTTTTTATAAATTTTTTAAAAAAATTTATTTAGATAGTAAGTATACATGAAATTTTTTTAAAAAAGGTTTGTAAATTTTGATCTAACCAGATTATGAAAACTAATTTATTAAGTTTGCATGATTTAACATAAAATTTACAATATAATTTTACAAAATTTATATAGTAAACTTAATAAAAATCTAAAAATTTTAAAATTGTTAAAAATTCCAAGGTTTAATATGTAATAAATATTTTGTAATTTTATATGGTTAAAAAATTTCATATTTATAATTTATGATATATAATTTAAAAAAAAAATCATTTTTTTTTCTAATAACAAAATTTCCTAAAAAAATTTATATATATTTTATGAATTTACTAAATACACCTATTATGTTTTACACTTACGCATGCAACTGATTAATTAATCAGTACAAGGTGTTCTAAGTAAAAATGTTCTACGCTCCTGAAAACCCTTTCCAAACTCTAATACTAACTTAAAAACTAATTCTAGCATGAAAATTTAAGTCAAAAATTTCTATAACAAAACTTATAAAAACTTGGAAAATTTAAAAAACAATAAAAAAATATAATAAATGCAAAACACCATAGGTGCGTTTTATAAGAATTATATTTTATCATAAAATTGAATATTATTCACAGGACAAATTTTAAGTTTTATTAATTATTGCGGCCTGCAAATTTTGATATAGAATATGTTTTACTGTAATTTCTAATATGAGATAAAATTTTGAATTTTTTTTTTTTTTTGAATTTACCTTAATATACATAAGGTACGCTTATGGCACAGATTATCAAAAAAAAAAGAAATCGTCGATTGTTAGGTGATTATTTGTGATTTTTGATTTCTTAATATATTTCTAAAAGAACTATAACATCGCGATATCGGAATGGCTTTTAGAAAATAAGAAATATAAAGTAAACACCTAGTAGTCGAGCGATTTGTTTTTTGATCAGCAAACTTTACAAACCTCAACTAAACGATTAATAAACGGTTAAAATATTTTTAATCGTATAGCTTATAGTTAAGCAATGCAATTAACAATTTTTCACGGTTCGATAAGCGTTATTTCAAAAAAAGAATTTTATTGGTTAATTACAATTACAAGAAGTTGAACATTTCACATGAAATTTGTGATTTCTTTTCAAAATTCTAACCTTAAATTTTAACAAAACCTTAACGTTAAAATTTACCATAATGCGTAAATTTTAATTTTAATCTGTCACAATAATTATACGTACAAGCCCACTCAAACAATTCCACATTACGTAACTCCGACATCGATTTCCTTATAAATATTTCTGTAACGATAGGATTTTTTAGATAACAGTAATTATCAGATTATATCGATATTAATATTGTGGCTGAAGATAATTAATAGTTAATGATGTAATAAGCCTCGAATAAAATAAATAAAATGCGGACTATTCCACATTGGCAATATCGTTCAGTCTAGGGACTATACAGAAAAAAGGGTTAGTTGGTTACCTTTTTATTATCTCCACTAATATAACCTTTTATATTTATGCACATACTGATATGAGTGCATGAGTGAAAAACTGTAACCAATCATAGTAAGTCATTAAATTTGTTTCCAGGTTTTCACTCTCACGTACTCATATATGGGTAATTATTTCGAATCCGGACCGATTTTATATATAAAAGTAATGCCATTTTGGTTTGGATCACCACCCGGTATACATATTAGATTATGGTCGGGTACGACACTTCTTATCGTTTTATACCACATCAACAAGGTATGGTTCCTTCTCCCTAACTATTTTTAAACTACTTCTTTACTTAAAATAAACTAGTGTATACCGGTACAGTACATGCACATGCATGTGTTAGGTAATTAATAACCACTTTAAACATTTTAAATATCGATATTATTTGTATTTAGAAATTACACGAAGCTTACTAACTCTGGTTAAGGGATGTGCAATTCTATTGTAATATGCTAACTTTGAGTTTATCCCAAGAATCTTGACTACATGCTCGCATTTTATGATCCACCTTCCGAACTTTCCTATAATTATTGTGCAGTCTTTAATTTGCAGTTATTGTGATTTCTTTATATAGGATACTTTGGTAATTGAAGTCAATCTCTGTGAAACATAGCAAATCATCTAGGTTCTTTGATAAGTATTGACTTACGTTCGTCAAATGTCATTTAATGTAATTTACTTTCTACACAAACATGAATATTCTAATGCGCAGTAATTACATAGTAACCATATATGTAGTAATAACTAATAGTACGTATACGCATAGTACTACGTATTAAATTTCATGGTAACTATAGTTGCTATGCAAATGTTTTTATTTAGGGAATAGGCGATTCCATTTTTACATTCCTCAACTAGGATTATTCTCGCAAATTCCAAAACTCCCCAAAATGTGTTTAAAGACTATTAATAGAGTTCGGGATTTGGGCGTGGATGAACCCAAGTTGGCAAGTATAGCTAGGATCCGATCTGATCATGATACCCTAAGACAGTAAGAGATCACTTCACCGACAATCATTTCGCTAATAGGCCATTTAACCGACATTATTAATATATATTGCAACCAATAAACTGTGATATCGGTGAATGGTTTGTAATGATTATCGACTATCAAGGGATCTACCGCTAAAATTAGCTGATACTAAAATTTGAGGTCCTCAATTACCTTGATTAACACAATTTAAGTTCTCACCTAAACCTGAAAAAAAAGTCTTTAAAGTTAAAATGCAATAACGATAAGAAAGAAACGTTTTATTTGGAAGGTAAACACTGGCATGTGACGTTTTTTTGCTAATTATCGGAATATTTTTAGGTGTCTTAGTAATACAAATATTTTGAATTGGTCCACCCATATCGACCTGTTCAACCTGCTCATTGTTAATTTTTCTTTATTTTATAATTTCGTGAAACTCAATTGACATACTCACGTAATTGATTGTTATTATAACTTAATAAATAAAACAAACTAATCTAATTTGATAAAATTTCTGACTTCAATGTGGTCATTATGATTGTCACGTTATTAACCCGAGCTTTTCCGTTATCGGTTTGGCTTAATTTATTACTCTTTGGAATATTTACTCCGGAATAGTCTATGGATCGTCTAACATACGCACGTACCAGTTTTGGTCTAATGTACGCACGTACGTACATACTTACGTACTGTTCTCTTGAATTATGTTCAATAGATTAGCTCTTTCATACTACGATCGGTATTGTTAAATCATTCTAACCTCATTTATTACATGTTAATCATTTCGATCTTTCATGAAGAAATTCTGAATTCATTGATTCTTACATATTAAGAAAATATGGAATGTACAAAAGTTACACTGCAGTTTGTAAATAGATAAAATCGTGAACTGCATGTGGCAAATTTTTTTAAAAAAATTTTCAAATTATTTCAAACATCAAACATGCAGGAAGTCGAAATTCTTCCAAGAGATGTCTTCATCCATTATCTTAATGTTCCAAAGGGAAAAGTCATTTTATGGTGGTTTTCTACTAAAAAGAAAAATATTTCTTTTGGCTTATTTCAGAGAAAAAATAATATTGTGGCTTCCGGAAACGTTTTTATCGCTGCTCCAAATACTCCGGAACCTTATCAGGACGGAAACGTAACTGGTCAAATATCACCTGCTAAAGTTACAATCTCTGAACATAAACCTTTAGCAAAAAGTTTAGCTCCTAGTCTTAAAAGTAGAAATTCTCTAGATACTTGTCAGACTGAAGAAAATGATGATATAAATGAGGATGATGTAAACCCTACTTTAAATAATCAACAAAATAATCGTGTGAGAGGACGTAAAAAATCCGTATCAGCTCAAATCGTTAAAGATCCAAGTTTGAAAGAAATATTACCAGTTGAGCATTATAATTCTGCTACAACTACAATTAAGGGACGTTATAAAGCAACTGAAGAAGGAACATATTGCCTATGTTTTGGTAATACATATTAATTTAATTGACTGGTTGATTTGCAATCTCTGAATTATATATCTAATCTTTTTTATTTTGATTTATTTTGATTTATTATTATTTTTTAAAAAAAAGATAATTCTTTTTCTCGTACTACCTCAAAATCTCTAACATTTTTTGTTGCTCTGAAAGATGGTATTTTAATTATGTTAATTATGTTACATTTTTATGAATATCACTAACGGCGATGTTTGATTATAGATACTGATGAAGATCAAAATGAACCTGAAATATCTGGCTGGCTATTAAAAAAGAAGAGGAAAAAAATGCAAGGTCAAATTAAATATCCATCTATTTTTTAAATATTTTATATAATATTTTATACTTTTATACATACATGTTTCCTAATCTCAAATTATTATACAGGTTGGGCTAAACGTTGGGTCCAAATTGACAATGGTGTTCTTTCATATTACCAACATCCCCATAGTCCTTGTAGAGGGAAAATACATATTGTTCTTTCAACTGTTGTATCCAGTCAATCCCATCGTTCAATACATTTGGATTCTGGAACTGCAACTTATCATCTAAGAGCTCTAACAAATGAAGAGTTTGATGCTTGGATGACGGTTATTCGTAAATATGTAAATCTTTCTAATGAAAAACAATTTAATGATCTTGAATACCCCAGGGCTTCTTTTTACCAACAGCCTGGTGAAATTGAAAGACTTCAAAGTTTATATTTTAAACGACAAGGCTTACTAGAAAGACGTCAAAGTTTAAATAAATCTATTGATCAACAAAATGGTTTACTTCAAAATAATTTAGATGAAGATCTCGGAAAAATTTATGGTGTATTCAATAACATGGACAATGAATTTAAAATTATTAAAGAGAATTTAGATATTCTTAAAAGTGCCATCGAAAATCTAACTGTTAATAATAATAATAATAATAATATAAATCAGCCTCAACCAAGTCCAAATATCGAAGGAAAATCTCGTAAAAAATTTACTCTTTCTTTGCAACGAGGTAATAAAAAACTATTCAACAATTAATATTAACATGATACTATATATATATATATCTGTGTATTTTTTTAACTTTTATAATTTTATTATTATTATTTTTAGGTCCAACTACTCCTCAATCCGATACAATCCAACCACCACCATCCCCTGTTCAATTACAAATACCATTGGATCAAATTCATGATAAATTATCTGTGAATGTCTCAACTTTAAAAAAAGAAAAAGATCAAGCTTTTAATTTGTTACGTGCTGAAATTGAAAAATGGAAATTGGTCGATCATGCATATCGTAAACTTGCTGCCGAAAATGCTAGTATACATGAGTCACATATTAAAAATGATAGCTTTGATGAGAGACTAGAACATGGGTCAAGTGATATAGATTATGCTGAGATTAATAGTTTAAAAAAGACAAGATCAATGTCTATGAGCACTATAAATACTCATTCTGAATTATTTTTTGATGCTGAGGATATTGATTTAACCGAAGATTTATCTGCAACTGAAAGTGATATGGATGTAAGTAATACCAATATCAGTGATGAGGAAAGTGACTCTAATCCCGCATTTATTCAACCAATCTCAGTTGGTGTGTATGAAAAACCTCCCTCTGAAAATTCCTCTAATGCTAGTAAACCAATGATAATACAAAGAAGAAAAGTTCTTCCTGCCCCAATTTGTGGTGAAGATGTTAGTTTACTTTCTATTTTACGAAAAAATGTTGGTAAAGATTTATCAACTGTCGCAATGCCAATTTCTCTAAATGAACCAATAAATATTTTACAAAATATGGCTGAAGCATTAGAATATAGTGAATTATTAGATAAAGCTGCGAGTTTAGATGATTCATTAGAAAGGTTAATATATGTAGCTGCATTCGCTGTGTCAGGATATTCTTCTACCTATTTTAGGACGGGTAGGAAACCTTTTAATCCACTTCATGGTGAAACATACGAATTTGTTCGACCAGATAAAGGTATAAAAAGTTACATTTTAAAAAAAATTCAATTTGGATAAATTTTAATCTGAAAAATATCAGTAACATAATTTAAACTATTAATGATTACCAAATAGGATTTAGGTTCATTTCCGAAAAAGTTAGTCACTATCCACCAATAATGGCTGTAAGTACAAGTACACTTGCTTTTTTTTTTTGAACTAGATTTTATTATTAATTTAACAAATTATTTTGACCTTTTAAAAATTTAGTGTCATGCAGATTCTCCATCTTGGACTTATTGGCAAGATTCGAAAGTAAAAAGTAAATTTTGGGGTAAATAATAATTTATACTTTTTAAATATTACTTTCTTTCTATACATAGTATATGTTAATATTATATATTTAAATAAATATACATTTAGGTAAATCGATGGTATGCATAAAAATTTTATTAACTTATTGTTACGTAAAAAATTTACATGAAAATTTACATACAAAAAAATGTAATAATCGTTTTGAAAAAATAGGAACTTATACCGATCGGTACAATACATATTACCATACCGAAATATAATGATCATTTCACATTTTCGAAACCTTCCACATGGATGCGTAACATGATATCTGGGACAAAATATTTTGAACATACAGGAGTGATGCGAATAGAAAATAGATCAACTGGAGAAGCTTGTGAGATTACGTTTAATCAAAGTGGGTTATGGAGTAGATCTCCAAATAGTGATATAGTTGGAATGTTATTTTCAGCAAATGGTGAAAAATCTGGAAAGCTTGTTGGTAAATGGAATGAAATAATATTTCATGAAAAAGAGGGTCCAAATCATTTGGAAGTAATTTGGAAAGCAAATCCCTCAATACCGGATTATGAACAATATTATGGTTTTACTCAATTTTGCATAGAGTTAAATGAGTTAACACCTGATCTTGAAGGATATTTACCAAATACTGATACTAGACTTAGACCAGATCAAAGGCTTTTTGAAAATGGTGAAGTTGAAAAAGCGGAGACTGAAAAACTTCGTTTAGAACAGAAACAAAGAGAGTATAGAAAGTTACTTGAGGAAAGAGGAGAAACATGGGTTCCACAATGGTTTCAACTAGAAGGTGATGAATGGGTTTATAAAGGAGGTTATTGGGAAGCGAGAGAAAGTAAAAGTTTTAAAACAAAACTTCAACTTTGGTAGATAGATATTTATCATTATCGCAATTTTGGTGTATAGAACATTTTTAACAATATACTAGCATTTTTTTTTAATATAGAACAATGTATACTTTTTTTTTGTAATTGAATTTGTGAATATATAATTTTAAATCAAGAAGTGAAAGTTTATAAATTTTGTTTTAATAGTGTAAATGTAGTAAAAATAATCAGTTTGTAACGTTAAATCTATATTAAACTTTTTTAAATAGTAGCAAATACATATAATTTGCATTTAGTACAAAGTAAATATTAGAATATATAAAAATTTTTCGAATAAAACAAGTAATAAGTTTATATTTATATAAACATTTCTGTAACAACTTTATTGAAACTCTCGAAATTAAGTAGTAGGCGTATTGCTAATATATAGTAAATTTATGTCACCTTTACTTAATGCAATATAAGCTTACAAACTTGTACATAAGACTCTAAACGTTTATTGCATTATTATAAATGGTGTACTGTATCGTATCATTTCGAATTTTATACCAATACAATACAGTACGAAATTATCGTATATATGTATCTTCATATTGTATCGCATCATTTTAAAATTCAATACTAAATACAGTACATAGTTCTTCGAACAAGGCAGACGAGTGTAATAGACATAAAGTTTATGTTAGTCTTTTATTAAATAAAATAAATCAGACGCGCGTTAACTGTTTAGTGAAATTATTTTTGTCGCACAGATTGTCAAATCGCGAATTATGTCATGATTGGATTAGTGTGTACAAGGTTGGCGGCGCAGCTCTCCTGAACTACAAATCAGGTTACGTAACACAATCGGGAAACAAACGTTCGTTATGACAAAAATCGCTCATAACTCAACAATCAGCATAAGAAACCACTTATTGTGCTCTAACAAAAAGTTTTCATTGGGCAACTTTACTATATAATTATTCCTCTTTAGATCTTAACTCTGACTCTAACCTGACCCTAACGAATTTTAAGAATTTTGTCTGCGCCGCCGACCTTGTATACATTTTCGGTATGCAATTCTTCAATGTGACCAGGCCAGGGACGATGATTTTCTGCGGTGAAAAATTACCAATTCCGTCCGTGACAAAACCAAATTCTGTGCATTAAAAAATTTCTTTTCTGCACATTTTCCGTGATAAATATTTAAAGATCTGCGCTGATAATATATATTCTGCTATGAAGTTTTTTTATTGTTAATAAAATAGTAAAGATTTATTCACTGACTTTATCATTAAAATACAATTTTTTTTTTTAAAAAAAAGAGAGGGTCTATTCTTTATCTCTTTATTAATTAGTTAATTTACATATATAAGATACATGTTGAAAAAACTAAGTTAGAAGAGATGGAGGTAAGAGTTACTTTACTTTTGACCTATTCTTTATTAAAATGGTTAATAAATCTTTAGTTGATAAGATGATGAAAAGAAGATTGTCTATTAGTAATATAATGATGTATTTTTTTATTTAATAAAGAAAGTAAGATTGGTTTAGTTTTAGCTAATGTCAGAGATTGTAGTGATAGTAACTAAAAAGACAGGATTATGTTAAATTACTTTAGAGGTAAATCAAAGTTCTTTATATATTATAATGATAATATTGTGATAAATAAAAGGAGCATATTTATGCTTATGTTTGTTATTTTTAAATGGTATTAATGTATTATTAATTATTAGTTTTAATGATATTTATTTGTTAATATAGTTCAAAATGAAGACTTAAATAAAATTATTTGTATTATAACAAAGTATTTCTAGTTTGTTTGAGGTTTTTATACAGCATATGTTATTAAGATTGTAATATATATATGATTTCAGATATAATTTAAAAGATGTGTTATGTTTTTAAAAGTACTGTAACATCTTAAACAGAAATAGTTTGGATGTTTAATATTATTTTTTCAATAAAGAAGAAGATAAGTAGGCAGCTTTCTAATAGTAATTTGATTTTAAAGTTTTTTAGTATTAAAGATGATGAATTAGTCACTAAGATCAGAAGTTTCTTTTTATAAGATATGTATTATAAAGTTAATAACTAATTAATTTTATTTTGTAATATGCCAATAAGAGATTTATTATTAGTTAAACTAAATCATTTTGTTTGTAATTTAGTATATCTATTTTAATGTAGTTTTTAGCAGATAAATATAAGAATTACCAAGGAGTTTATAACAAATTAATTACATAAAAATTTTATAATATAAAGTCTAATAAAAAAATATTGTTTTAAGTTTTAGAGATTTGGAGTTTTTTATTAAGTATAATCATAAGCATTTAGTCATATATTATTATCTTTAGTACTAAGAGAAGATAGATATGTTATTGTTTATTTAATATAAAGTAATTATGTAGTTGAATAGACTGTTTAAAGATAATTAAGTTCACAAGCAGAAGATTATTGGTATATTTTTATATTAGTAATAGAGTTCATTAAGATGAGTACAAAGATTAATAAAATTGTTAATGTATTTAAATAAAAAAACCAAAGATTAGTAAAACAACAAAAAAAGATATCAAAATATTAAAAATAATATTTTGCAACTATATAAGAATTATTTTCTATATTTTATCAACTAGTTGCTATAAAAAGTATTATTATTTTTTTGTTAAAATTAGCTGTTGTTAAGGTATTCCAATATGATATTAAAGAGTTAATAAAGAAACTGTGAGGTTTAACTAAAATTGAATGCATTTTTTAGTTATAAAATTGAAATATTACAAGTTAGATTAAAGCTAATACTTTTTTGAAGTCATTAAGATTAATATAGATCTTTTTTTTTTGCAATCTACTTGAAGATTATAAATTAGTTTTGTTATATTAAAATAATAGTATTTAGAAATATAAAACTTGTTTTTTAATATATATTCTTAATAAGCTGTTAATGTATTATTAAAATATAAAATATAATATTGAGTTTTAAAATACTTATTAAAAGAATTATAAATTCTTTCAAAAATTAGATCTTTTGTAATTAGTCTTTTTTACTAAATATTTAATTGACTAGAATATATAAGTTTGATTCTAAAAATATTAAGATGAGTTTGTAGATACAAATATTAAATTATATATTAAATAAAACTAATAAAGATATTGACTTTGAAGTATTTTTTTATATTGTAATAAAAATAGTTTTGTATTAAAAGTTCTGTATTAGTTATATTTAAAAAGTATTTAATATTTGTTATATTATAATTGTTTAGTTTTTTTTAAGATAAGAGGCTCTAGAATAATTTAAAAAAAATTAATTTAATGTACTAGTAAATTTTTTTAGATTAGTCAGTCATTACTATTATATAAAGTTTGCAGTTTTAATATATATAGTATTAGTATTATTTAACAGATTTGTGTATTTGTTTATAATAATAAAAATACTAAAAGTTATAATAAAATTGAAGTATTAGTAAGTGTAATATTTTGTAATTATTGTAGTTATAATTTTAAAGAAAAAGTCAAAATTAGAATAGTTTATATTTTTTTAAAATATTAAAACTAATACTAATATTTGAACTTAGTTTAGGTTAGTTAGTATATAAATATCTGAATTAAATAAAAAGAAATTATAAACTTCTTGTACTGGTCTTACTTTGTATTTAATCAGTTAGATACAGACTTTATTAAAAAAACTTATTTGTAAATAAGAGAGAAATAAAAAATATAGTTAGTAAAGAAAACATAAAGTAATAATACTTTTTAGAATATAAATTACTTGTTTTTCTGTTATATTAGTAAATTGTAATTTTTTTAAATTAATTTTAGTTTTAATTATTATTTCTTTTTATACTAATGTTGACTTTCTGTTAATTGAAAACCATATTTTCAAATATTTAAAGAGTGTTTTATTGTTAATTATAACTAGTTTTTTTTTATTAAAAAATATTAAATTATCTAAGTTTGAAGAGTTTGTAATCAGAATAGATTTTGAAGAATTGACTTTTATATTAGCAAATTTATAAAAAAAAAAACAGTATATAAAATATTAATAAAAGAGATTTTGTTTAGTGTAATTTATAATAAGTTATCTATAGAGGATGGTGATTCTAGTATAGTGGTTGGGTTGTTATTCTCTAAGTGACAGGTTTAAGATTCAAATCCCACTTACGATGAAATTTGAAAATTATATTTGCATTATAATAACTGTCTCCTGTTAATTGGTTGGCCTTATGTGACTGTTACCTAGGTACACCAGATCAGGTTTCTTCAACTTTGGGAACTCAGACATCTATATAAAGTGTAATGTTATATGTATATAGAGGAATATTAACCAGTATTGCATAAGACTTCAGAGCAAACCCATGATAAGACCACTAAGCGTAGAAGACTAAAGAACCAAAATGACAAAAATCCACTTGGAAATTCCTGAGTAAAAAGGTAGCATGAACTTTTGACAGTACCATTGAACTGGTTGAAGCCTATAAAACACCTTTATAGAAACTGAAGATTAAAAACCAGACAGCAAATATGTGTAGAGGAACATATAACCAACCAGGCTACTAGGTTCGTTGGAGGAAAAAGATACTGAAGTATACTATACTGGGCCATCTGAATTGGTAGTCTGGAATGAGACCAATGGTTCTGAGTTGTGGCTAATAGGAGATAATGGAGAAAATGCCAGAAAGATGGGTACTGGGGTTCTAGTGAACTTTACAAGAGTAGAAATAGTGTAATATAGCAGTTAAACAAGTAACCCCTATGACTGCAAGTGTTAGATAACTATAACATGTTGCATAAAACTAGGTCTATATATATAGGATATAAAGGCTTTAGTAAGTTTTTTATTGAGAATAAAGTAGTTCTAAGGGTAATGATAAGTATCAGGAACTTGAATGAGTGGCACCTTGAGATGTTCCTGTAATACAAGAAGAACTGTATATGCAGAAGGTTTAAATAGGCAAGACCCCTAGTTGGCTTGCAGGTATGGCAACTAGTATAGAACTTATATAGTAA